ATACCAGCAAGGCACCCATCTCGTGACACTCGAGTGTCAAATGCGTCGCATTACTCACACGAGATTACGGAGACGTGACAGGCTGCAACGTCATCTCACCAACGAAGCAGGACTACCCTTGCCTTTAATAAGTAATAGTATAATGTGGTAGTGATTTTTATATCCTCTTTCCGGCTGGGCTCCAGTTTAAGGTACATTGTGTTGAGCAATTTGTCTGCCTTAATGTTTGGAATTCGTTTAATGAATAAGGCACATTTGTATTGTTCATTTTTAGGATAGAAAATAAAAATACTTCACCCTTAGTTGTGTATGCTGCAAGTTTATGCAGGGCAATTGGCTCATGCATTTGCCTCGCTCCGTATTTCCACCAATTTTTAGACCAAATTCTCGCCTACTACTACTAATGCGTGCAAAAAGGCTGTGTGTATCTTTGAAGTTTTGTCGAAATAATTGGAGTCTTCTTCGTTTTTATGATTGCTAGCCTCGAAGTTGGCCAATGGGAGGCAATGTGAAAGACAAAATAATCTTATACGCTTCCTTTGATTGCACGGATGGTTCATTTTACGGTCCGAAAATAAATTACTTGAAGGTCTGTACCAAATTTGTGCACGCAGTAATTGTTAGTAAGGCTAGACATGGGCCTTAACATTTTCACCTCCTGAACTTTGAGTTATTTATTTTGCCAGAATGGAAACTGCAGCTTGGCACGCCATTCTGAGCAAAGTCAGTGCATGCAATCCCACTGGTCCTTTTTTTTTTATTAATCTTCTGCTTATTTTCACAGAACAAAGTGCGGCCTCCTCTGTCGTCGGAAAGCCACAACAAAATGCACAAGGTACTTTCACTTCCATTTAAAATATGTGTTCTCCAAATAGAGGCTCCATTCCGTAAGGCGGATTTAGGAGTGGTCATATAATTCCTTCCCCTATGTTCAAATGCTGTTTCCTAGACATCCACCTACTCATCCCCGCTTATTATTATTTTTTTTTCAGAGAAAAATGGGTCAATCTCCGACGTAAGTTGCATCACGCTCACTCGCATGTGCATTTCGTTGTCATAAGTCATGCCAATTAGGAGCATGAGTTGCTTCTCATTTTGTGCTTCAATGGGTGACAATAATTGGGGAAGTGACAAGCAATTCATTACTCATCGTCCATGCACTACTTAATGCCACGGACGCAGTTGGGACTCTTCATCGTTTTGCGTATTTTAAGTGAAATACGAAAGCACCTTTCATTCATTTTAACCTTTTACAGATATTTTAAACCTTCCTTCACCTTAATGCCCAATATGACTACCTCAAGTTAATTGGAGTGGTCGTTCCTACCGTTAAGTTTAGGGAAGATTTCAAAAATAGTTTAAACTGCTTCTTTGCCTCACATTTGGTGACTTAAAACGCCACCTTCAGCGACTGAGGGTAAAGTGTCATTATCGGCCAAAAAAGCCGTCACTTCTCATTCGGAGCCATTGTGAACGTTTAGTCTCCAAAATGATTTCGTTCAAATGTGGTCGAATCCGGCAATGGGTCATGTAGGAAACCTTCTATTGCGTCTAAACGTTTGCAGCTAATTAATGTTTGAAAGGTGATGATCCGATTGTGTTATTCCTACTCGATCCAAGTTGGCTAAATAGACACTGGAATTTTATGTCCCGAACTGGAATAGAGGCGACATTAGGCTCTTGGAAAGGTAGAAATAATTCTGATAAGGACATTATCCACCACTTTTAGTCAGTGAAAGAGGCAGCAAGACGACTGGCACAAGAAAACGAAAGAGACAATGGCCTCACTTCTAATACTTCGCAACGTCCCGTAAGTTAATTCCCCTTTTTTTTACATCAACAGCCTTTTCACAAAGGTACATGAGCGCTCGTCTTTAGGTGAATTGCCATTACCTTAAACTTGGAGGAGAGCTTACAGTTTGCCTCAACAATCGCTTTTTTGGCTGCCCCAAACTTTTGCTGCATTAAACAACCCTAAGGTCCCGAAGTGAAAGTTGAAACTCTGCAGAAAAGTAGAGCAAATGTCTTGGAGCTCTTAGGCACAATCGATCGCGCTCTCCACGTTATCGCTCCTTTTGTTCCACTCAAGAAGTTCCTTTGCACTTTCCCATTTATACGGTTACTCTGTTAGTGTCCTCTTTGTCAAAAATTACGAGACTTTTTTATGCCTTATTTGTGCCTTTGCGGTTAATTAATGTTTAAGCTCGACATGCCGCGAAATGGCCAAATAAACCAGAGACAATTATGAGAAACAGCATCGATGTAGTTGAACACTTTACCGAGTAATGCAGAACTTTGTTTGCATTTCACTATGCTAGCCTCATGCCTAGTTAGACGTAGCTGAATTTTATTATCCTTTCCCTGCATATCCTAAGGAAAGTTTGTATCATTTTTTAAATGTGCCTATATCAAAGGAAACGTTGACTTCCTCAAGGTGAAGCCACCACCCACATCCCACGCATAGTAGTTGCAACTGAGAGCTACCCAATGGAGTATTTGATTCGATGTGTATTTTGTTTGAACCAAAGGCTCTGAGCTCTAGGTAGGCAAGTACTTGCATTTGTCCGAATGCCTAATCACGTAAAGTTCATTATGGATGTGACTTTGTTATTTATTGTCCAAATTGCTTTATACCTGGATGTTAACATTCTATATTGGACCACTTGACTCGTTCTTGTAACATTTAGGTGGTGAAATTACGTGATTCTTGTCTCAAATCTTATTTTTGGAATAAAGACCAATGTTGTTGATTTAAAGTTACCTCTAACCGAACTAATATTGGTTGTTTTTGCTGCCACTTTTTCTCCTTTGTTTGAACCATTGCCTTGCCCTTGACGCCATGGCCGGGGTTTAACGGCAATGCTTCATTCGTCGAAGCGCAACCTCGAGATTTCGCTTATTTTTTAACTTTTTATCGTTTGAACCAACTCAAAAGTAAACTCTCTTGTTGGAGCATTTCAACATCTTGTGTAAACAATGGAAAAGGAGGTTGCTGTGAACGTAGGAGTAATCGTTTCACTCATGTGTGCAATCAAGCATTGCAAATAATTTCGCACTAACAACTTCCATTTAACTTCCTACGTCCGATTTTTTCCCATGATATTCAATACAAAAACACATGCAATTAACTTTTCAGTCGGTGACTTAACAATGACTTCGCCTAGTTTCGGCATCGTTTACCCCAGAAAGGGCTTAAAATGGGGTCTTAAGCATCCCGACGACTGGTTTGACCGTTTTGTTTTCCTCTTGGAGACAATTAAAGGCAACTCGCTTAAAAAACCATCCCACTTTTAAGTTCTCTCACAATAATTTAATGTCCATTATTTTGCCATCTAAGCTAAGCTGTATAAAATTTCACACTTCTTTTCTTGGCAGTGTACAGCATTCTCAACCTGAACTCACCAAAAAATGCTAGCATTTCTACTTGCAGTCCATGAGTGAAGATTAGTTCCTTTGTTGGGGGATGACGCAGGACGGTTTTATTTTAGCTTACCAACGAATCAGAGTCCACTTTCTCGCCTCACCTTGTCATGCCAGTTACTGCTATGGCTTGACAATAAACAGTGCCACTCTTACCAACTATTTTAGTAGTAATGTATCTTATTTCACTTGCACTAAGGCCCATTAAATATTCATAATTTGGAGGGTTTTTCATTTGTTCTAACAAATGAAGCACGAACACCTCTCCCAAATTTAGCTACAGAAAATCATCCAGGCACTGCAGTGAAAACTCAGACTTTTATTTGTCTATTGCTGAACCATTGAAGTGGATCAGTTTTGGCAACCTAGTAAAAACATAAGTCAAGTGATTCCTTGTTCGTTGGATTGATCAAAAACTGCAAATACTCGGGCGTTGAGATCGTCACCCCATTGTTATTCCCCTCCTGTTTAGTCAAAATGTTGCCTATATTCAGTAATTTTCATTCTACCGGATTGAGCAACGGTCATTTTTAGTTGCTCTCAGTTTTGATGTGTGAATTCCCAAAACATCAATCTAGTTTTGGGCGTTGCCAATGAGACTGTTTTACAAGTAGGTTTAGAAGTGCTTTAGGTGCCTTTGCATTGCCCTACAAGTATTAATGGGAATTGCTTCATCACCATCAAGCAGCATCGGGTGTTTTGTAAGCAGAGTAATCGAAATTCGTACTGCATTTCATGAATCTGGTGCAAATCACTTGTCAAACCAAAGCCAATGCGCCTAATTTACTTTGTTCGCCCCACCTATTCGCTTCAGCCTTCAGAAGTGACATATCCCGTAAAGCATGGAGAGACAGCGCCTAGTTTGAAACAACCTCCGCCTGCACGGTTCTAAATGCAAAATCCAATTGTTTACTGTTTGAGTTCAAAAGTGAAACATCGACATGTCACAATTTTAGCCAACTGAAGAAAGCACTAGTCGAGTGTACGCCGGTGCGTCAGGACGTTCAAGCATGCGACGAAGAAGTGGAGCCTCTCCGGTAATGAGATCTTGCCTCCGTTTCCGAATGTGTGAACAAATTGAGCTTTTTGCCAACATAACCACTCTTACCCTTTCAGCAAGTGACCGATCTAAGACGTCGTCTAAGTTCGGCGTCCTCCACCACAACAAACACTCAAAATAAGTCTCGAACACTTGGGGTAATACGACCACTTTTGGGCACTATTTTCAGTTCACCTCAACTCTGTGCACAAAAGCATCTCTGAGTGCTTAAACTTTTACTCGAGGCACCTTTTATGCTTTCTTTTGGGCAAGTTAAGTAGCATTATCTGAATCAGATCTTCAACTAATGCACTTCCTCCCAACGATTGTGGCTTGAATTTGCGACTGTCTCAATGATAACCATAGGCTGCAAAGTAGCTTTTTAATTTTTTAATGCAAGCGATGGAAAGTCTTGGAATGTTGATGTAGCAACACTCACTGCGTCACAGTCTACCTGTTTTCGCCACGTTAATTTCTGGCGTGCTGAAGTTGGTACTACTAACTACGATACGCACCATTTTTAGTTAAAAAAAAAGCAGTTGATGTACTGCCCAAGTGAAAGGATCGCATTATGCCCAGCACTGTGGGAATGTGGCCTTTGTGATCATCAAGGCAGGAGTGGAGGAGCAGTCGTGCCGTTTGCACTGCTCTCTCTAATATCCACTATTGCGTACTCTCACTGCCTCTTTAATTTTTGAAATGCGGATTTGTCTTCTCTGACGTCTTTGTGCTTTTTTTGTGGGGATTGACGACCATGGAAAGGGCGGTTAGACACTGGGCAGAAGTGTTGCTTACTCTTCAGCCACTTCATAAAACTGTGAAAGGATATCAACTTTATGGTATAACTTCTTAACGGTTGTAGACAGGTCGCTGACACAAGACTCAATAGCTTTTCCTCCGACCTGTTAATGCATTTTGGTGTCATTTTTTACATCTTAGATGGCGGGTGTTGAAATGCACTTATTGCACACGAGAAGGGCCATTTTTTCTTGAAACTGAGCTTTGCTGCTCTACTTTAGTACTACAATACAGCCAAGCTTTTTGCCTTTGATTTGCTCTTCCGCCCTCCTTCGCTAGACGCTTCTTTTTACGCGCTAACCATCTTTATCGCCTCTCCATCCTTTTTCTCACTGTCTGTCCCTTGTCTTGTGGCAGTGAGCTGACTTCCTTTCTCGGATCATTCTTTGCTTTATCCAGATGTTGGTGCATTTTCCTGCCTAACCCGTTGGAACACTTTCCACAACTTATTTAGTCATCCCACTAAGCATTTACACAGCAGCTGAATCTCCTTAGTAAGGGGCGCTTTTTACGACTTTCTTGGGATGTTCTTTTTAGCCTCGCCCTGTATCGCCAGCCACCGGAGCCGAACAGTTGGCATTCAACGTGATCTTCTCGGGTGTAGATGAATTGCCCAAGACCCTACCACGTACAAGGTCCCGGCAACACAGCAGTTCTGGGTACGCCACTCCAAATACCCTCACCGGCTACTCTGACGGAAACAATTGGGACAACAGGTCTATGGTCAGTGGGGTGGGTTCTTCTGTCGTCTTCTCTTTCATCCTTTCTTTGTCCTATTTTTTTTTGGTAAATCACCTCAAAAATGCAAAGGAGACAGAGTAAATTGGGGGAAATTCACTGCTTGGAGGGTTTTGCTCATATCACAAATCGATGGCAAGAAACTACAAAGTTGCTGAAACCGGTTGACGATCGGCCATCTCATTGGTGAAGTGGAGGCCGAAAATTTCACTAATCTTTTATCCAAAAGGAACCTATCGCGTCCATCTGAACAGTTTTGTTCCATTAGACTAGAGTTTCGTGGAAGTAATTATGAGGTAGGTAGGTGATGAGGTGTTTGTGCCTCGGCTTTTACAAGTCGAATTGTCATACCTCCAGGCATGTGATCACCACCTCGCAATCGAGGGAGGTGAGATGCAAGTTCGTGTCAGCATTCTGATGGCAACCCTTTATGAGTGTAAGCGCATCTCCATTCCTGTTGCTCCCTGGTTCACGTCTGTCTCTTCTGGAAATCGGTGAAGTACGTCAAATCATCATCGGCGCTCCACTTGAAGTGGTCCATCACGTCATTTTAAATGGTGAAATTAACATTTGATTTCACATTAAATCTCAAATTTAATTACAGGGCTTTAAAGAAAAGTGATTTGCACTTGACTTTTACGATTGGATGAAGAATGAGTTTACAAGTTTTAGAAATGATTTCCTTTCTCGGGAGGCGGTGGAAGGGCTGTGTAACGCGTCTCCTAACCACTTCTGGCAGCAGTCGCCGAAGCAGTAGGTGAATGGTGTGTTTCCCATTCCTTCCTGACGTATGCAAATGCAAGGTACTTAGTAAATGCGATGGGAATATTCGAGGCTGATTCATCGTTTCATTTCAAACTGCAAATGACGCATGATAGCAGCACTTGTTTTTTCTTTGGGAAGAAGTTCTTCTCTTTTTTCCTTCATTATTACCTTCACGAGTGAGCATCCACTCGGTTTACTCAGTTTGCTACACTTCACTTTCTCCTTAGTGGTTGCATTGTATTATCATGAAAAATAGGAGTCCCATGTGATTGAAGGCATAGAGAGGTTGATTGTTATAAGACTTCGATTACTGAGACACAAAAAAATTGCATCATCGGTTGTACGGCCTTCGCTCAGGCCTTGGTGTGCCGTCGGTCCCTACGTCGATGCGACGGCTCCACCGAGGGCGCCCGTCCGTCAGATTCACGGCGCATCGAGACCTCCCCGAGGACGAAAACACGCATAATTATCAGGCAGAACGTGTTTTTTCGATGTGTATAAATGAAACGAGGAGGTAAATAAATAATCAAGGCTTTGCATAGCTCCTCTCCTTTTTGAATGTTGTCTGTGGAGCTCTCCTTGTCGAACACGATGCAGTCAGTGTTGTAAGAGAAGCAACCACGAGACCTCATTCGTTTAAAACTGTGAACAAATCTAACCTTAGCAACATTTACTTCTCTCGACCCTTCTAACATTTGGGAATGTGCCAAACATCCTCAATTTCCATCGATAGATGCAAAAATACTGACATAGAAGCAACTTTATTTAGAAAGTGGTAGGACTTATCGGCGTTTCATGCGGGTACAATCCTGTGATCATTCCAGTTTTTTTTTGTCTCTTTTTCACCGCTATCCATCCACATCTATCGAAGCACCTAACGGCTAATGGAGAAGATGGCGGGTTCTGCGTTTTTTCCCTCATTTGCGCTCCTCATGCAGGCACGCAATTAACAGCATTCCTGCGAGGAATGTCACTCCGAGATTTTTTATACAGCAGCAAATTTCAGGGTTTTTCTCATTCACAATCATGTTGATTTTCCTTCACCACTGATTTTGACGCTCTGACACTTTCCGAAATGGCACACTATAAGCATAGATCGTATTCGGTAGACTGTGGAAAGGCTGATGTCTGGTGATGTAGCTCGGACACAATCTTGCCCATCAAATACGCAACAACCACGTCTTCAGTCCCCGCGTAACTGCAACGAGGAGTTAAAATGAAAGCCAGCGTTATACGAGTGATGTAATCACATGGGATTCTAACCCACTTCCTTTTTTCCCCTCAAAAATGCACAGCTGGAGGTGCGGATTGATGGAAAAGGGCTCGGTGAGCTCAATTACCGAGAGCTGGATACGCATTTTGGAAAACACGCATCGGCAATAACTTGGTGCAAATGGCACTGTGTGCGGTCATAAAGTCACTTTTTTAATTCCCTCTTTTAGCGAAGGGGAATAACTTTTTTGTCCCCAATTTCCGTTTGCATTAGTTACCAAGTCTTCCATGCGGTTTTGTTGTGCTTTCATGCAATGCGATGTTGAGATCCTCAAACGACTTGGTAACCAAGCAACAGGAGATTCAGATGGGACTTGAGATTGCCAAATTGCCGGCAATTGGAGCTCTTTATTCTCACTAAAACATCCTGAAGGCGCAATTAGGGTAATTTGTTCTGAAGTGCAACTTGAAGTGTACTTAAATCAAAAAGTGTTGCAGAAATGCTTGTTCTTTTGACTTTAATGGGTAAGTCGTGGGATGGGGTATGGAAATGGGTGACGATTTGTTACAACAAAAACAAGGTGAGTGCATTATTTCCACGAGCACGGATTTCATGCACCTTATTCATCATTCACACTGAATCATCGCTGATCATAGCCTGGAATTCGTGCCGTTTTGCCCACTCAGCTTGGTCCAACGTGCTGAGTATGTCAATTTGTGATGAGCCAAGGCTAAATTTTCCACGCTCATTTTACTGCTTTAAGGTGAGTGTTGGTTCAGTGACAAGTATCTACAGCGAAAGGGAGGAGAGTTTCACCCATGGCATCATCATCACCGGGGAGTTGAGTTTCTCCATCGACTACGATGACAAGAGCAGCTCGTTGCGGATCTTCGTTAAACAGGCGCGCGAGGTGGCTGTGGCCGACAAGAAGACAAACAACTCGAGCACGTGAGTGTTCTTCCCACGTTCCTTCCTGATGGGTGTTAAAACTGGGCCACTTTCTCTCGTAGCCTTTTGAAACTTTTGCATTGCATGTTCTAGCAGTACTTCCGATTTGTCCTCGGTCAGCCCATTTCTTGCCAACACAAATAAAGCTGTCACGTACAACCGCTCCGTAAGCTGCACCTTTATGCAACGTCCTGCGAATGTTTGGTTATCCACCAAAGAAGACCGCCCTACTGGGAGCTGAAAGTTCTTGCTAAGGGAGAACTTTGCTGTTTGCCTTACGCCTCTCCAAGAGCGGTTGTTTGAGCTCTCGCTTAAGGAGAACTTCATCATTCGCTTCCAGTTTGGCTGATTACCTTTATGATCAGTGTCTAGACTGAGACAGACTGGTTTGTAACAACCATTAGCCACTGCTTGTAGTAATGTAACTATCGTAACATGTGTTTAATGAATTCGCCAAACAGTAACACATCGGTTTCCTACGTGAGAGGGAAATTCTTTTTTTGGCAGTTGTGTTAGTCAGGAGGAGCTGTGATACGATCGCTGTAGCAATTTTAAATAACAATTAAAATAGTTGGGCAACTTTAAACTCGCAGTAGTACTAAAATGACTGGACTAAAATTCCTAGAAGTGGAGCAGTGGACGGTCCCAACACCGCCACTGAGACAATCTTGTGAGTGTCTTAAGGAAATGTTGTCTACCATGTATAGACATTTCTGTAGCCAATTGAGAATGCTCATTTGTGTTTGTGGTACTCTCCTCCATTTGACATACTGTAAAATCTTTTTCAAAGGATGGGAAGGCGCCGTTCTTGTTGTTTACCATTTGATCCAAAAAAACTTGCTTTTAGACCCGTTTTCGGAGGAATTGATTGTGCCTCATCACTAAGGCGAAAAGCTGTTTTT